TAATCATGTTTTGGGTGTACTATTCCTTTAAGAAGCTATTTTATTCCTAATAGTCTTCAAAGAGAAGTCTGTGTTGCAAAGCGCTCTCCAGTTGCTTTCAGGAACACTCGGTCCATCGTGCTACCAAAGGCTGAGCGCTGCGGAGGAGTTTATTTCCTCGTTACTCTTGGATCAAGGTGCAGGACATAACTGTGTAATGATGATGGTTTGTCGTTGTTTGATTAATCCTTACTTGTTTGGTTCAACATAATTGAAAAAAAAAAATAGATAACAGTCAGCAACAGTCTGCAGAATATTCAAAATTACAATAAAGAAGATTCTCAGCCTTCTTGATCCTGTGAATTGGAACAGTACTAGGGCTGAAGCTGATGACGTTTTTTCGAGCACATGAGAACGCACAAGTACACATATTAAGAAACGGCCGTAGTCTCTACAGGCGGGATTTTCTGAAAAGTAGCCAATCACAGTGAAAAAACATGACATGAGCCACAGAAAAAGGTCCACATGTGAGTAGGAAAGAGCCTACAGACGGATAAAAAGCAAGAACTCATTATTGGGACATACTGGGGGTCACATGGTATTAATCTGCATCCATAAAACAAGTACTTTCCCTGCCTGTATTTTAAATAAAACTGCTTGTATGAGTATTTATTACCCATGTACCCTTTTGGCAGAATTCTGATGTCATCCTGCTGATTGGATGCAGCATTGAACCTCTGTTAACATGTGTGAAGGTTGCTTTTTCCTCACCGTTTCTTACTGTGTCTATAAGCCTGCAGCAAAACAGGCCTTTTTCTTTTAGTTTAGACTGTGTTAAGAAAGTTAAATCACTTGAAATGTAATTTCTAGGTGTGGGGCAAATTTTTTTGCAGCTGAAACTGAACACCTTCATCAAAATACCCAGCTGTGTGATTAAAATTAGACCTGCCATGTTTGAATACGTAAATCAATCAACGTTTGACACGACAGCCTGGCAGCTTTGTTTAAAAGGATTGTTTTTTTTTTTCTAATCCTGACAGGTTTAAACTAATAAAGTAAAAGTATTATTATATGAGGAAAGGATTGTTTTTATAGTAGTGTTTTATATTCAGTATGTTAGAAATCTTTTTGGTGGTTTCTCTGTATTCTCTAGAGGCGTTTATTTGAATAAAAAACATGTTGAAAATGTTTTTTTTCTTTTGCTGATTTTTGCATATTTTCCCCCCAAAATTAAAATAAAATAATTTAAAACAGATTCAAATACCAGCCTTTGTCAGTGGTACTAGTTTTGTTCAGCCAGGTTAAATATGATCAAGCAGTTCTGGCCACATGTCTTTATATAAAGGATGGAAAGGATTTATATGGAGTTTGTAAATGCGTATTTTCTTAGTAGGAAGCTGGAAATATGAATCCTGTAGCAATGCTATAAACCTAAAAGATGGAGCCTAGGCAGAAGTTCAACTGAATAAACTGATTACTCCCAGCATCAGCATCCAGAGTTCATCTTGAAAGGTCTTCAATCCACAACTCGCAGTGTTCGCGATATGTGGGACTTGAATTCAGATTACCCTGATTCTACCGTCGTAGCTAAAGCTTCATCAGAGCGTCATTCCTCCTGGACTCTTACTGCGTTCCCCGTCTCATCTCAACCGGTCCGGCAGAGTAACGTCATGTTGAGCCTGGTTCTGCCAGAGGTTTCTTCCCAAAGTGGAGTTTTTCCTCTCCACTGTCGCTCCATGCTTGCTCATCATAGGCAAGGCAATTCAAGGCAAATGTATTTGTATAGCACAATTCAGTACAAAGACAATGCAAAGTGCTTTACATAATTAAACTCAAGGAAGATAAAACAGAATCAAAGCAAGTAGGAAAAAATAAAAAATAAAATAAAAAATGCAGAAACAAAAAAGAATTGAACTGTTTAACTAGAACAGTGGAAGGCAATCCTAAACAAATGGGTTTCTAGTCTTGATTTAAAGGAACTCAGGCTTTCCACACTTTTACAGTTTTCTGGAAGTTTGTTCCAGATAAGTGGAGCATAGGGACTAAATGCTGCTTCTCCATGTTTAGTTCTGGTTCTAGGTCTGCAGAGCAGGCTGGAGCCAGAAGACCTGAGTGGTCTGGAGGGTTGATACACTGATAGCAAGTCTGTGATGTATTTAGGTGCTAAGCCATTCAGAGATTTATAGACTAACAGAAGGATTTTAAAGTCTATTCTCTGAGATACAGGGAGCCAGTGGAAGGACTTTAGAACTGGGGTGATGTGCTCTACTTTCTTAGTCCTAGTGAGGACACGGGCAGCAGCGTTCTGGATCAGCTGCAGCTGTCTGATCCACTTTTTAGGCAGACCTGTGAAAACACCGTTGCAGTAATCAATTCGACTAAAAATAAACGCATGGATTAGTTTTTCCAGATCATGCTGAGACATTAGTCCTTTAATCCTGGAAATGTTCTTCAGGTGATAGAAAGCCGACCTTGTAATTGTCTTTAAATGCTTTTGGAGGTTCAAGTCTGAATCCAGCACTACACCTAGATTTAGGGCCTGATCAGTGGTTACTAGCTGAAGCGACTGAAGCTCTGTGCTAACTTTAGATCTCTCCTCTGTTGGTCCAAAGATTATTACTTCAGTTTTGTTTTTATTCAGTTGAAGAAAATGATGGCACATCCAGGCATTGATTTCTTCTAAGCATTTCCTCAGTGCTTGAATTGGTTCATAGACACCTGGTGACATGGTGATGTAAAGCTGTGTGTCGTCTGCATCATGGACAGGTTCTCTCAACCTGTGTTATCCAACTGGACTTCCATCTTCCAGGTCCCTGAGTGAAGCTCTAGGATCAGCTCACGCAGTCCACTGGATCTCCCCATAAAGCTCAGCAGACCGTCTCTCCAACCAGCAGTCTACAGACTGACCAACTCCATCTATCTCCACTCCACCAACAGTTTCAGGCCGGGGGGGGGCATCCCTATTCTTTACTACTGTTCATGCATATCTACCAAAATTCAGCACTAATGTTTCCTGCCGAGGTCTGAGCGCCAAAATCTGATGTCATTGTATCAAAAAAATTCTAATTGTCTTTTTCTTTTGTTAAAGAAAAATTATCATTTTTAGTTTTTAATACAGTTAATCTTATGGCATGTGTAAAAGGTATGTTGAGCACTCTCATTTTGAACATATTTCTTAATCTTGAACAAGTTTGTGAAGATAACCTTTCCTTGAACCAAATCACTGAATTTAAGTTTGTTCCTGAGAATTTATGGCAGGAAGAGGCCCCGCATTCCACAGCTATTCTGTGAGGTCTTATCTCATGTTTTCTTTAGCCAGAATAAATTAAATACAAGAGGTTAAAACTTTCTACACAGAAGTAACAAATCAGATTTGCTCTTGCAACTCTCCAAAGATGTCTTTGTACGTCTTTGCTTTCTTTCCTTCTCTCCATTTATGTCGGGTAATTGAATGTATGTCTCCGTTGTTCTGCAGTTTCTGGTGTAAGTTTATGCATTGTCTTATATTGGATTAGACTCTGTAATTCTGTGACGTCAACACGCATTGCTGGTTTTCCTTGTGGCTACACGCAGCTCGCCGAGAGGACCTGGGATCCAAAAGGAAGAGAGAAAGCCAACCTTTTTCCAAAGTTAACTATTTTAGAATATTTTCTTCCTTAACACTTTCCATATGAGTTTTTCAGATTGAATTGGCAGTAATTAACCAAGACTGTGTGGCTGAAACGCAGTATTTCTTTATTTAATTTCTGCTAACTAGAATGGCTTGATTTAGTGTAAGATATTGTTTTTTGAGTATCTTTCATTTAAACCGTTTGATTTATCTGGATTATTTGTGCTTTCTTTTTTTTTTAACCAATTTCTTTAAAGAATTCTCTTGATGCCAAAAAAGAGCCCAACAGATTTTGCTTTCTCAAGTGGAGCAGTGCGGCTATCGCCACAGTGTTCCGCTTGATTTATGCATAGAAATAGCTTTATTATGATTCATGCAGGGAGTTTTACAGATTATATGGACACTAATGTAACTAGAACAGGAAAGGAAAAACAGGAAAAAGGAGAAAAGATTAAAGAAAGAGGAGATGAAAAGGAGACAATGATAAAAATGTTATCATTTGTGCTTTCTTTAAGCACAACTTGAAATCTGGCTAAACCACAACTGAACTGTAATAAGGAAGCATTTGAGCAGATTTTGAGAATAAGACCCTTTTGGCTGACTAGTTATTAATGGTTGTGGCTAGCGCTGTAAACCACATAGGTGGTTGCTGTTAGATTGCTGTAAATAATCATGTGTTTATTGCTGGTTGATAGAATGTTAATGTTTTATAGTTGTGTGATTAAATAAACACTAAGCTAATAGCTTATTTCTCTTTTTGTATTACTTTTAGGATAAGCATGGCTAATCTGGCTAACAAGCCGTATCTGAATGAAGTGCATTTACATCTGCTAATCACAAGTTTTAATCACCTGAGATTCCTTAGTTTATCTAAGAAGTTCCTTCTTAGCCTGGTGAGACCATCCTGATCTCGCCAGCTTTCAAGGTTTCACTCGCAGATCAGCCTGTAGACTCTCCGTTAAAGAAAATTTGGAGCCGTTCACCAAACGAACGTCCAATCAGCGTTGGCTTTGAGGCGGGTTGAGGTGTGACGCAACGAGAAGCGCGACAGTTCGGTCTAAAGAACATGGCGGCTTCCGCCGATGAAACTAGCGTTAGCGTGGCTATCGAGCAAGTTTTATCGGAATTACAGAGTATTTCTTCACTGAAAGAAGAGCAAAACACTGCTCTGGAGGCTATGGATGCATGAACACCTCATTTTATTTCAGTGTTAAATTCTGTTAAAAGTCACAGATTTTAATTAAAAATGTCTCAGAACCTTTGCTGGTTGATGATTTTCTTGATTCAGACCCCGCTGATTTTTTAAATTGGTAACCCCTGCAATTTAGTGTAAGTTGCTTTGAAATGTGCACTTATTCTTTGCAGAGTGCACAAAAGCATCTTCCAACGCTTTATTTGAATTTCTACTCACCATTTCGATCTATAGCAAAGGGTGTGTTGGTGGTGGTGATCTGGTAGTTACAGATTTGACTGTACTGAGGGGAACAGTCCTGATCCGTGGCCTCGACTTGCAGGATGCTGTCATAAATCTTCCCCTCGGTCACAGCAGCTCTGTACTGTGGCTCTCGAAACACAGGAGCGAACTCGTTCACGTCGTTGACCTGGATGTGTACCACTGCCCTGTGCACAAAACACACATGGACAAAGTAGTTAGAATAACATAGTCTATCACTATAAAATAGTCTGTTCATCACAGAGACGGCTGTTGGATATACAGTAAAGTCAATTGGTATCAAAACAGTCCTACACTGCAAAAACGATCTAGAAATAAGCAAAAATTTCTTAAATTAAGTGTATGTGTAAATGAGATAGTTTGCCAATGGAATGAGTGTTTTTACTCTTAAAATAAGATAATTAGATAATATGCACTTGAAATAAGACAATGCAATTGTGTTTTATTATTTTAAAGCTACAGTGTGTAACTTTTAGCGACATCCAGCGGTCAGACTGCAGACTGCAGCAACATGAACATCTCTCCCCCACCGCTTCTCCCCCCCAACAGTACGGCGAGTGTTACGGGACAAAATGTCTTCCACGACGTCCGCATCACCTACCTTCTCAAGTGATGAGGTTTGTTTACATAGATAATTTTACAGATAGTATTTCATTAGTCTGTGTAGGGTATAGATTTCATGTAGACTTAATATAATAAATATACCCGTTATTTTTTCTACATCGTTGTGACATTTTGGCGATCTCGCAATCACTAGTTTGTTGGCTCTGCGCTGCCGTAGCGCAAAGATGTCTGCCTCCATGGCTGCGAGACCCGCTCCTATGTAATTATAAATAACGAATTCTAAGGCAACGCAAATATTAAGGTTAAGAGGCTGAGCTCGTAGATGATGATAAATAACATAGTTATGTATAATATATTACATTTCTGACTGTATATCCCTGTAATTATTACACACTGTAGCTTTAAGTGTAAATTGTCTTGTTCCATTGGCAAAATGTTTGTTTTACCTCCTCAATTCAAGAACAAATGCATTTATTTTAAGAAAAAATGACTTATATATATTTAGATTTTTTGCAGTGTATATGAAGAGGCAGGATTTCTTGTAAAGTAGCCAATCACAAGCAATTTACTTTCTCAGGTTGGTTCAACCCATGAAGTGACAAAAGGAAGAGAGCACAGAAAAGGAGAATGGACTCGTGCTTTTGATATATTTACGACTTTGTGGTATTGAATCTGCAAGCATTGAACATTCAAAATACACATGGAGAATTGTTAGGGTTGTTAAGTTTCCCCAACTTTCACCTATAAAGAAATAAACAAAGTGTAAGATTTTTCCTGACCGGGCTTTGCAAAGGGAAAATACACAGAGCTTTAGGATTACTCTGTGCATCTTCGTCTTGCTCCACGCTTGCAGGCTTTTTTATTGAACAGTCAACACATTACAACAGCAGACGTTAGTTTCGATTACGCAATCTCTTAGACATAGCATGAACTTTTAAGATAGGGAACATGTCTGGTTTCAGTATACGCTTTTTACAAAAGGTGTCGGGGGTTATGAACTTCCCTTCTGTGGTTCTCAAATGAAAAACAGGAACTTCTGTGCTTCATTGTCGCCAAAACATTTGACCGTCTTATGACCTGCATACACTATTTCCACTGATGACAGTATCATCGAAAAACAAATGATTTAAAAGCCATATAAAAGATATAAATGAATAAAATGATAAAAACAACAGAAATCATAATAACTCCAACATCAATATTTTGTTTCAACTCAATTCAGCTTATTTCTATAACCCCAATTTACAACACATGTTAACTTTACAGTTCAACCAGATCATCCAGACCAATTTATTCAAAGTTTTCTATCTAAGCAAAACCAGTTGATTGCATCGACTCTTTGACTGGAAGGAAATCCCTCACACTAAGCATGCATTTAGTGACAGTGGAGAGGAAAAACTGCCTTTTAACAGGAAGAAACATAGAGCAGAACCAGGCTCAGTGTGAGCGGCCATCTGCTGAGGCCGACTGAGGTTCAAGGAGACAGAAGCGTAGACAGATAAGGCGTCTGTAAGAGGCGGCCCCGTCCATGAAACTCACAGCCAGGCAGACGAGCTCCGAGCCAGCTCCCATGTCAGAGGATGAAGAGAGCACATCCAGTTAGTCATAGTCAGAGAAACAGGACTACACTGGAAAACAGGCCTATTTCCAACATCTATAAACAAAGGTGTTGATGGCAGCACAAGGTTAGAGTGGTTCACGTTATCCGAAGCCATCTTTGTAGTAATGCTGATATGGGCTTAAGCTTCTTGAAGACATAGAGACCACTTTTCCTTACTCCGTTCCATTCTACTTCTATTCACCGATTCAGTATTATTAGTGCTTCATCTGGCTTGGTGCTCTGTTAAAGTTTGACATAATTCTAGAGGATGACATTAGCTGGACTGCTACCATCACCAAACTCCATTAGAGTTAGGCCTGTTTTTTTAGTGCTTGATCCTGTTTTTCTCCTAGACATAGCTATAGGCTCCGTTTTTAACTTTGACTAACTGAACTAACATGAAACTGGGCTCAGAGCTTATTAACCGGTTGTTTCCTTGACAGAATCACTTGTGGAGCTAATTTACTATTACCTTTTCTAACATAGAAGTTATTTATGTATCACTGCTTCTACTCTTTGTGTGTGTGTTTTTTAAAAAACCCTGTGTTTAAACATAGCAATGAAATTAACTCAACAACATGCAATTATGCATCAGAAAAGCAAATCAAAATGACGCCTTTGAGAGGTTTGATATAATTATGCTCTTAATTTAGAAAAAAAGGCTTCTTTTTTTTCATTAACGCACTTTTAGCAGAAATTAAATAACTTAAGCACAAACTTCTTAGATCGCAGGATGCTGGTACAGAATACAGAAATGAATATCTGGGTGACAGTGATAAATCGGCAAGCTTTAGGAAAGGTGGGATGTTAATGGTGATGCTAACAGCAGCAGAAGATGGTGATAAGAGCCTCTGACAGATGATAGCAGCACCAGCGTTCACAGTAAATCCCTCAGCCAGCCTTGTTTTGTCATATTAATGCACTTCCCACATAAACATTGGCCCCCAGCTACGCCGCACTCCCCGAGAACTGAGCGAGCAAGCATATGCTCCGCTCCTCCGGGACTCACGGCGTTATGTATTCATGCACACAAATGAATAGAATATAACTAAATGAAATAATTGTTAGGCTGCCTGTGTGTCCGCGTGAGCGAGCGTTCTCTTTTGATGGCGCACATCTGGCTGGAACAGACGAGCCGCTCTCCAGGGCGACAGTGCGAGTGTGCGTGCGTGTCTTAATAGTTCGGGAAGCTTGCCAAGCTGGTCTTAAGGCCGCTGTTGCTCGCAGTGACAGGTTGCAGCGTGCTGGCAGGCGTCCAGAAACTGGTCAGAGTGATGCAGAAAGACAGCAGGGGGCTGAGTGACCCCACGGGTGACAGAATCATCACAACAACAACAAACTGAAGGGAAAGTAGAGCCAGGGGTACCATTATTCAAAAGAGCAGGAAAACTAAGTCACCTGGTAAATGACAAAGCAGAAAGCCTTTTCTCAACAAAAAACAGATGATGAGAAATTTCTTATTCTAAAAAGTTAAAAATGTTATAGAGTGGACCAAAGAAAAGCCTTGTTTTTGCTTAGAAACATGCAAATCTAACCTACAATTCAGCGATTGAGTTATCATCGCAACACCCAGATTACAGGGAACCAGAGCAGGGATCCTACAGCATAAGGCAAGTTAAATTCAAGACTTTTTAAGACTTTTTTATACGAAAGAGGATTAGGGCCACTGAAAAAAAAAAAGTTAACTGATTTCTCAATTTTATTTCAGTTTAACATGAAATAAAAGAATTCTGACTTTTTTCTCAGACTTCTGACTTTTTTTCTCAGAATTCTGAGATTAAAGTCAGAATTCTGACTTTTTTCCCAGAATTCTGACTTTTTTCTCAGAATTCTGCCTTTTTTTCTCAGAATTCTGACTTTAATCTCAGAATGCTGACTTTTTTCTTAGAATTCTGACTTTAATCTCAGAATTCTGACTTTTTGAATTCTGAGATTAAAGTCAGAATTCTGACTTTTTTCTCAGACTTCTGACTTTAATCTCAGAATTCTGACTTTTTTCTCAGAATTCTGACTAAATTCTTACAATAAAAAAGTTAGAATTCTTACTTTTTTCCCATACTATACTGAAATAAAAGAAAAAAAAATCTGTTAACTTTTTTTTTTTCAGTGGCCCTAATCCTCTTCCGTATTTTTAAGACTTTTTAATGCCACTTGAAATAAAAATTTAAGACCAAATTCACAAGAAACACAAGAAAAACCTGCTTGCAACAACTTAACCCAAAGGTTTATTTTAACATAAACACCTGCACTAATGTTTCAAATGTTGAAAAGCTTCCCATACAGGAAGAAAGCTAAAAACACACAAATGACAGATATATTTTAACAATTATTTAACTGAATTCACAAACTTTGTTTTAGCAGGGAACAAAACAAATCAGTTTTAAAGCCCCGACATAACCAGTGCTAAGTCTTTTTTGCAGCTATTTTTCTTTGTATGGTTTTCTTAGTATGTTTGATTTGGTGATAAGTGGAGGCGTTGCAGAGACAAGGGTGGAACTAAACTGAGAAATACCGGCTGTTTCTCCGTAACTCCATTTTGACGCTTTGTGTTTCGTGCTTCGCATGTGCGACTCCACTGCCTTAATTCCCATCGTTCTGAGCTTGAATGACTTCTTGCACTAAATCCACTGAGCCTCATGTATGTTCCCTGGTTTTAGCCATGGAGGAAACTCTTGGCTGGAGACAATTTTGGTTACATTTACACTTGCTCATATTTTCCAGACAAAAAGTTAATGGTGCATCTCCTAAATGTCCCGGCCGCAACAACGCTTTTATTGGTTCCGCTATCGGGACGGAACCAATAAAGAGCCGTTATTTTCTTTATTAAAAAAAAGGTCAATTTTAATGTTTTATTTAGATTACAAAAATAAATTAGGGATGCAGGATATAATCGGCCCCCTATCGGTATCGGCCTTAAAACTGAATATCGGACATCGGCCACCCCACCGATATTTAACCCGATATTTGATCAGCTTCTGAGTTTCTAAAGTCTAAAAAAAAAAA